AGGTCACAGAGGCAAATTCCGTGGCTAGATTAAACACGGGGCTGGGTAATTTTATGACCACGAGTGATATTTTTAGCAGTGGGGCCTGATACTGTGAGCGAGGTAATCCTATTACATTCTCCAAGAGATAGTTTGCAGGGACCTCTGGCAGGTGGGTATCTGAGCAGTGTGAGAGTAGGCCTTTTATGGGTTCTGACCTTTGGTAGGGAATTGCACTAAAGATTAGTTTGTAAGGTGAATGTCTTCAGGGATCCCATTCATGCTCAGTCCCTACTTCTCCTGTGGAGATCCAAAAGTCCTCTCTAATCAGAAGCAATCAGAATACAGAGTTTCATTATCCCAGATGCTAAGTCCTGGAGATCTATTATATAGTAACGTGACTAGAATTAACCACGCCGTATTGTATACTGAAAACGTGCTGTGAGGTAGATCTTACATGTTCTGAGTACATACACCCAAAAAAGGTAGATGTGTGAGGTTATGGATATGTTAATTACCTTGACTGTGGTGATTAATTTACGTTTTATATAAAATGTATATCAACACATTGAGTTGTAGCCTTGGCTGGTGTGGCTAAGTTGGTTGGTGTGTTGTCCTATACATTGGAAGGTGGTGGGTTTGATGACCGGTCAGGGCACATACCCTGGTTCCCCAGTCCAGCACTCTAGAGGCAGCCAATCGATGTTTCTCTCTCTCTCTTCCTTCCTCTCTCTCTAAAGTCAATAAAAAAAATCTATGCACAAAAACAAACAAATATAAGCTAAAAAATTATATACCTTAAATATATATAATTTTTATTGGTCAATTATACCTCAGTAAAGCTGGGAGGTGGGGGGGGGGAGAGATAAACATTAAAAATTAAAAGTCAACTGGCGAAGACTTCTAGAACAGATCATGCCTGGACTTTGGGAGCCATTTAGCTAATTTATAGAACACTGTCCATGTATTGAGCTCTTTGCTTGGATTTTAGAAAATCTGTTGGGAGAATGAGCATTCAGAGAAATGAGTGCCATTCAGAATGAAGGGGAAGGGACTGAAGGAAGACGGTAAAGGGACTGAAGGCAGACTGGAAGAAAAAATAAGCCAAAATAGCTCAACTTCTGTGGTTCAGAGAGGGTCCCCGGAGGAGGTGACACTTGGACTGAGAATGTTTTATTGAGATATAATTAACATATAACACTGTCGTAGTTTTTATGTGAATAATATAATGAGTTGATAAGTCTGTATTGTTGTGAAATAATTGCCGCAATGAAATTAGTTAACCTTCATCACCATGCAGTTACAGTTTTTTTCATTGTGATGAGAACTTTTAAGTGATTCCAGATATGTGATATAGCATTATTGACTGCAGTCCCCATACTGTACTGTACATCCTTATGACATTGATTTTGTAGCCACTGTAGAAGTTTGTGCCTTCTGTCCCCACCTTCACCCATTTCACACCCAGCCCTCCACCCTCTGCCTCTGGCAACCACCAATCTGTTCTACGTATCTCCCCGTTCAGCTTTTTTTTTTTTTTTTTTTAAGTCCTCACTGGAGGATAGTTGTCCATTGATTTTTAGAGAAAGTGGAGGGGAGGGGGAAAGACAGAGAGAAATATCAATGTGAGAGGAAAACATTAATTGGCTGTCTCCTGCATGTGCCCCGACCAGGGCCTGTGCTGGGGAGGAGCCTGCAACCATGGTACATCCCCTTAAGCAGAATTGAACCCAGGACCTTTCAGTCCACGGGCCCATGCTCTATCCACTGAGCCAAATCGGCTAGGGCTGAGTTCAGATTTTTTTAATTTTGTTTTTCTAGCTTCCACATCTAAGTGAGATCATATAATGTTAGTCTTTCTTTGAATGAATTATTTCACTTAGGGTATTGCCCTCAAGGTGCATATGTAAGTGTTACTAATGTCAAAATTTCCTTTTCCATGACTAAATAACATCATAATACTCCATTTCTTTCTGTATCCATTCATTTGTCAGTGGACAATTAGGTTGTTTCCATATCTTGGCTTCTGTAAAATAATGATGCAGTGAGAATGGGGTGCCAGTGTCTTTTTGATGTAGTGATTTTGTTTCCTTTAGAAAAAAATCCAGGTGGAATTGCTGGGTCACTTGGTAGTTATGCTTTTCATTTTTCTGAGTATCCTTCAAACTGTTTTTCGTAGTGGCTGCACCAATTTACATTCCCACCAACAGGGCACAGGGGTTCTCTTTTCTTTATATCCTCACTAACACTTATTTGTTGTGTGTTTAAATGTGTGAGGTGGAAGCTCATGGCGGTGTTGATTTGCATCTCCCTCATGATTAGTGATGTGTAGCATCTTTTCCTGTACCTGTTGGCCATCTGTATGTCTTCTTTGGGAAAAAATGTCTATTCAGATCCTTGAACTGAGTCTTAGAGGTTGATTAAGGGCTCACTGTCCAGGCGAGAGAGGGACAGGCATTCTAGGCAGAAGGGACCGGCAGTCTACCCAGGCCCAGAGACAGAACATGATGGAATATGTCCGTGAACTCTAGTGCTTTGGAAAGACTGTGCCACAGAGTTCAGTTGGTAGAGAGGGAGAAGACAGGGCACCCGGGGAAGGGGGAAGACAGATTATGAAGATGGGATTGCCTGAGACTTCTCTCTGGCAGCCATGGCCGGAGTGGGTGGGGAGTAGAGAAGTGGGCAGGTTCTTCCAGGAAGTGACACATGAAATAAAGGACAACCCCCCAAAGTGTGTCCCACTGCCATATTCTTTCCTCTTTTGACTACTTTCCACGGCTGCCTGATGGTGAATATTGTATCACCCAGCTGCTTGCTTCACTTGTTTTTACTATCTGCCTGAAACATTCTTTTCCATGAACTTGATCACCATTAGTAGTAGTTAAAAAAAAAAAAAAAAAAAAAAGAGCCCCCTACCTTTGATTAAAGAGAAGTTTGTATAGGTCTCAGAAAAACTGGATGAGTCCAGCGTGTCTATCTGATTTTATTCCCTTGGGTCTCCTGAGAATCAAATTCCTTTTGGGACAGGGAGGAAGAGGCCGGGTTTCATATGCCTGACCTTAGACTCCAGTTCTCTGTGAAGTTGGTTCAGCAGACAAGCAGGAAAACATACAATGTCTTTGAGGAACAGATAGATTGAAATGTTAAAAATCCGTTTGTTAAATGATTTCGGCTAACACAATAACTTAATTAGGAGGAAAAAAGTTCCAGACCATGTTCCTTCTTCAGTGATATTTAAAATAAGAAATACCATTTCTAATCATTCAAAGGCTAACTGGCAATTTCTACACCATGGGAGGGAAATGAGAGAAAGAGAGAGAGAAAGAGAGAGTCTTTTGTAGACACGGACTATTTTGTAGTTTTACTTTTGTGGTAGATGCAAATATTTTATTGTTTGTGTTGTTACATAGTCTAGCATGCAATCAGCAGTTTCCCCATCACTTCATAAATAATGATTGAATTGTAATACACTTCCTAATGAGGAACCTTTTCTACACAAGTCCTTTAAGGCTCTTCTGAGAAGCTTCTTTAAAAACACGAGGTTGTTACCGAAACCGGTTTGGCTCAGTGGATAGAGTGTTGACCTGCAGACTGAAAGGTCCCAGGTTCGATTCCCATCAAGGGCATATATCTTGGTTGGGGGAAAACACCCCAGTAGGGGGTGTGCAAGAGGCAGCTGATCAATGATTCTCTGTCATCGATGTTTGTAGCTCTCTATCCCTCTCCCTTCCTTTCTGTAAAAAAAAAATCAATAAATATATTAAAAAACAAACAAACAAAAAACATGAGGTTGCTAGAGGGACGTAGAATGAGGCTGTTGATGGAAGGTAAGTGGGTGCGCCCACCTGTGTTCCAGAGTGTTGGTGGTGCAGTGGCACTGCATGTGCACCCGACGCTGTGTTTGGTTTGGACACTCGGAGATGAATATGGTCATGACTCACAACACAGGAAATACAAGGGACCATGGTACCCCAACTCCAATGTGAACTAATACAAGTTCCCCAGTAGTGATAGATCCCAATATTGGCTCTGTTTGAGAGCTGGCGGTGTTTTCACAGAGAAAACCACGTAGGCTGGGTCTTAAAGTAGAAATCTCCATCAACGAGCAGAGAATGGCGGGTGGGATGGAGTCGGAAAGAGCATTTCAAACACTGAAGCAACAGAGAGGTTTCTCCTGGAATTTTGAGCAGCTTGTTTCTTTTCCTTTTCCGAATCTCCGTTCTATCAATGTTGTAATTTCTAATCCATTCTGAAAAATTCCCCTTTGAGGGAAGAATGGGTTGTCTCATGTCAGCATGTAGCAGATATTAATCTTGTCAGTAAGGGGGTAGTGATTGAGGATTCCTCTAAGGCCTGACATCAATTCACTTAAGTATGTTTTAATCATTTGCTCTCCTGGCCTGAGCACTCACACATACGTCTTTGCTGTCAGAAGGGAGGCACGTGGCCCCGGCAGCACAGTCTTTCCCCCCACGGTGAGGCACGTCCGTTTAATGAATCAATACAGGCTCTTCCGGTTGCAAATGTACCTCACTTTCCACCGAGCATGCCTTATCACACCTGGGCTTCTTTCAACAAGGTTGTTTATTTGTGGTTGTGCGAAAAAAGAAACATAAGCTCTAGGAGAACTTTGGTGCCAGATGATAAATAGATCCTTTCAAGGACCGGGTTAAAAAAAAAAAAAAAAAAAAAAAAAAAAAGGGTGACTGTATTTAATAAAACTTTTTAATTTATTTTTAAAAAATATATATTTTATTGATTTTTTTTTTTTTTTTTTTTTTTTTACAGAGAGGAAGAGAGAAGGATAGATAGTTAGAAACATCGATGAGAGAGAATCATCGATCAGCTGCCTCTTGCATACCCCCTACTGGGGATGTGCCCGAAACTAAGGTACATGCCCTTGACCGGAATCGAACCTGGGACCTTTCAGTCTGCAGGCTGACACTCTATCCACTGAGCCAAACTGGTTTCGGCTAATAAAACTTTTTAAGTTTTAAAATGTTGTCTCTGTTCCCCTTTAGACCTCAGCTGGATCTCCAAAATACAAGTGAACCAACCGGCGGTGCTGAGACGCGCTCAACAGATCCAGGCTCGCAGGACGGTGAAGAAGGAGTGGCAGGTGAGGCCTCTTGGGTGTCTGTGTTTTCCAGCGCCCGCCCTCCTCCCAAGGCCGCGGTATTGAATTTTGCTCAAGATGCATCTAACCTTAAAAGATGGCAGCTGTCCGCGACTTATTTTAATAATTCATCTAGGATGATGATGGGTGGGAGAAAGAGAACCCATTTATCCAAACAAGTTAAAACTGTTATCACTCTTGAGTGGCAAAGCCGCAAATGATGTTGAGGCATCTTTATTCATGAGTGCATTCTGCGGCATCTTTTCTCAGCACATTTATTCAGTTTTCTTAGACATCCCTTCTTTGGATGTCTTCTGTTTTAATTTTCAAACCCGTAACATCCAAACCTGGTGTGCCCACTGTCGGGGCCCTCAGGTGACCTCCTTTGACCATCGTGTTTTCCTTCGTATTAATTTTCATAAACCACGTTTCAAAATTCAGAAAAGTGATGTTGTGTAGAGTGCTTGTGGTTTAGCGTATTCTCCCGTGGACACCAACCAAAGACGTGCTGTGCCTCGCAGGACTAACAGGATTCGAGAGTCCATGTTACAAGGGAGGCAAAGTATTGGGATCGAATCCTTTTGGGTGGCATCTCGTATTTTATTCATCTTTCGAAATATGCTGATTGAAAAGTTAAAAGAAAACTAGTCAGAATGAGTTGTGAAATATGAAGATTATTTAAAAATGGAATTGGATTAAATTGAAACAAACAAAGAAGTTAGGGATTCTTTTTTTTTTTTTTTTTTTTTTTTTTTTTTTTTTTTTTTACTGTTGTTAATCCTCACCCAAGGCTATTTTTTTCATTGATTTTTAGAGGGAGTGGAAGGGAGGTGGAGAGGCAGAGAGAGAGAAATATTGAGGTGAGAGAGACGCATTGATTGGTTGCTTCCTGCCCATGCCCTACTGGGATCAAGCCTGCAGCCGAGGTACGTGCCCTTGACTGGAATTGAACCCTGGACTCTTTAGTCGGAGGGCTGATGCCCTAACCACTTAGCAACCGGCTAGGGCATGGAGTCTTTTTATTTCTCATCTGAGATTTCAGGGCTGGAGGTGAAATGTAAATCAGAAATGCTCTTGTTCCTACATTCTTTCCTGAGGGGTAGCTATGAGGGGCTCCTTGTGGATGAGATGGAGAAGTTAGATGTGGGGAGACTTAATCTATTAGGGATTTCAAATCGGAATATCTATGGGAGAAAAAAAAGCAAGACTACTCTTGTCCCTTTTATTTTATTCTATGTAATGCTCAGGTTGTTGGTCACTCTTAGCAATGTTTATATTGTAACAGAAAGATATGCTTTGGATAGTATAGATGTCAGCTTTTAGCATTCATGTTTGTCTAGTGATTCTCTACTAACTAACTGGGTTGGAGATGAATTTTTTTTTTAACGTTATTTTTATTTTTCTTCAAACCAGGCTGCTTGGCTCCTGAAAGCTGTTACCTTTATAGATCTTACTACACTTTCAGGCGATGACACATATTCCAACATTCAAAGGCTCTGTTACAAAGCCAAGTATCCTATCCGGAAAGATCTCTTGGAAGCTTTAAATATGCACGACGAAGGTAATGCCTGGTGTATAATCTGTCTGGTTTTTCCCCTTTTTACAATACTGATGACTAAATCCAGAGGATTCAGGACAAGATTCAGCTGCTAAAATGACAGCAACAACAAAATCCAAGTGATACAATTGTGTACACCAACAACTAATTCGATTCTTCTCTAAAAAACAGCAGGGAGAGAATCTGAGTCTTACGTGGAGGTCTGTTCTTTCCATCATGGATTCAAGTTGCTGGTAGAGAACTTCTTGATTTTTCTTTTTCATTTCTCCAGTTTTGGAAATTTTCTATCTAGTGACTCTAAGATACTGATTCTGATTCCCCAGCCACATGTGAAAAAGCCAGTCTCATTACTTAATAATCACATCTCATACATAAAGTATTTTCTGTGAGCAAATTAAATACTTTTGAGAATAAAATGCAAATGGGAAATATTACATGCTTGTATGTTAGGTTCGATCTTTTGAGAAAAGTTATATTCACTCTCTTAGTATACATGAAAGAACCTACAACAACTTTAGAAAGTTGCTATAAGTACCAAACTTTAATATTCTAGAAATGGAGGAGACCTTTGAGAGTCAGACTCCTTATTTCTAATATTTCTTTTTCTTTTTTTTATTAAATATTTTATTGATTTTGTTACAGAGAGGAAGGGAGAGGGATAGAGAGTTAGAAACATTGATGAGAGAGGAACATTAATCAGCTGCCTCCTGCACACCTCCTACTGGGGATGTGCCCGCAACCAAGATACATGCCCTTGACTGGAATCAAACCTGGGGCCCTTCATCCGCAGGCTGACGCTCTATCCACTGAGCCAAATTTTTATTGGCTCAGTGGATAGAGCATCAGGGCTCTAATATTTCTTTCTTTTTTTTTTTTTTTTAATATATTTTTATTGATTTCAGAGAGGATGAGAAAGAGAAAGAGAGACATAAAACATCAATGATGAGAGAGAATCATTGATCAGCTGCCTCTGCATGCCCTATACTGGGGACCGAGCCCACAATCCTGGCATGTTCATTGACTAGGAATCAAACTGTTGACCTCCTGGTTCATAAGTCAGTGCTCAACCACTGAACCAAGCTGGCCAGCCTCTAATATTTCTAAATGAGGAGACCAAGACCTGGATGGCTAAATGCTGTTTCTAGGAGGACGTGCCCTGTTGTTCACTGGACTGGTGTCAGGAGCCAGGTCTTTCCATGAAGGGTGTCTGTAATGAGTGCAACTGGAGATGTAGATAAGTTGTAGACCTAAAAACTGGACAGCTTTTGAAAAATATTTATGATGTTTTTCTTGAGTTGACAATAAAAACAGCACCTACTAGTAACACTTAATGGTAACAGCTTTGGGGGAAAGGGGTTAGAAAATATAACAACCCTGTATCCTTTTTGTTATTGTTTTATTTTATAGTGTCTAATTTAATTTGTATTTTTGTAAGAGCTTAATTCCTCAAAATGGAAGTTCCAGATTTATATTTTACTAGAGGCCCAATGCACAAATTTGTGCACAGGTAGGATCCGGCTGGCCACCCCCATTGGGCTGGGCCAGCAGAGGGGAGGGCTGTGGGTGGTTGGCTGGCTGGCCCCAACCCCAATTGGAATGGGAGGGGCTGATTGGGGGCCGGGCCAGCCGGGGGTGAAGGGCTGATCAGGGCCTGGATCAAGCTGGTTGGCTGCTGCAGTGCACATCATAGCCACCAATCATTGTGGTTGTTCTGGTTGTTCTACCGTTTTGGGCTTTTATATATATATATATATATATATATATATATATATATATATATGGATTATTTCTTATAAAAGAGGGGTTAGTATTAATTAGATGTCATTTTGCCTACTACCCTGTAAGGTTCACTTCTGTTTTTCTTCATCCACTTTCTGAATGCTGGACAAATCTGGATTTTGTTAATTACATGAAATAAGATATTTTTATTGACCCAAGACTACCATATTTATTATTTAAAAATTTTTAAATAGTCGTGTTATGTAACTTCGAAGAACAATGTATCACAATTGTTTTATTCTATGACTGTGACGATGAGAAAATGGTCCATGTTGTCAAGAACTGGAAAGGAATGTGGAAAACAAAAGCCTTTTAATTTTTGCCGCATTGTGGGGGGATTCTTTTTTCCTCTCATTTTGATTTCTGCCGATATTGTGGTGTAGGTAACAGTTAAAAGCATGTTGAACGTCACCTTCAGAAGGCTGCTGTGCTTTCTTTCTTCACAGGCATCACCACGGCTGCCGTTTGTGTCTACCCTGCCCGTGTGTGTGATGCGGTGAAGGCGCTGCAGGCTGCCGGCTGTCATATTCCCGTGGCGTCAGGTAAAACTGGGGTGGCTTTTGTGGATGTCTTTCCACATGTTTCCAGCTCTTCAACTCAGACATCTTGGGGTATTACATATAGTTGTACACTATGACTTTAACCAGTTTTATGTATTTGACTGGTTGTATTTATTCTTTTAGTATTTATTCATTGCCTTCCTAAGTAGCAATTAACATTAACTAATTACTAATTCCTTTCATCAAAGGGATGTGTACAGTTCTCCAAAATATAGAACTGTATCCCTGTCCTTAAGGCAACTTAGTTGGTTTGGAGGAATAATCAAATTTTAAAAATCGTATGCCAGATGTGTAGTATGCTATATAAATGTAAAATATGATCATCAAGACATGCAGAAGGTAGCTGTAACTCTGAGCGGGGGCTGATTTATTCTGCAGAGGTGGGTGACACTTAGCAAGGGAATGCTTCATAGAGACAAACAGTAACTGCACTGGGTCTGAAAGGGTAAGGGAATGGCATTTAGACAGAAGACCATGTTGGTGAAGTCAGAAGCATGTTCCGAGAACTGCACGTGGTTTGCACTTGTTGGATCCTAAGGTGGGACAAAGTAGGGGCGGTGGGAGTCTAAGCTGGAGATCTTACGGGAGACCATGCCAGGCTGTGCCATTTGGGCTGTGTTCTGGTGATGGGGAAGGTACCGAAAAGTTTTAAGCAGAGGCACAGACCGCGATCCGCTTCGTGATGTCCTGAGTTAGGGCATGGTAGCGGGCAGATGAGAAGGGGTGAGCTGGATTTAGGGAGATTCTCCTTGTCCCCGTGGGAGATGATGAGGGACACCCCAAAGCTGGAAGATAAAGAAAAGAGGGCATGTTCAAGAGTTACTGACTTGTGATAGACACTTAGGACTTGGCATAAGTGAAAGAAAAATCTTTTTAAAAGCTTCAATATAGTGTGTGTGGGGGTAGATGCTCTTTAGATATCTCTGAAGCAACTGCCTCTTTTACATGGATGGGTGGATGGATGTAAAATTAAATTTTACTTTTAAAAGATCTTGGAGAGCCTGGCTGGTGTGGCTCAGTGGTTGAGCATTGATCTGTGAACCAGGAGGTCATTAGTTCAATTCCCAGTTAGGGCTCGATCCCCAGTAACAGGTGTGCAGGAGGCAACTGATTGGTGTATCTCACTGATGTTTCTATCTTTTTATCCCTCTTCCTTCCTCTCGCTCTGAAATCAATAAAAACATATTTTTAAAAAAAAGATATTGTAGGAATATCCTGGTGCTTTAAAAAAAAGTGTCTATAAAGATGGTTAATTTATTTTATTCAAAATACATAAAAAGAAACATTATATATGGTATCTATATATAGCTCCTCTGTGAAGATTCCCCAAGTATTTGGCAGCTACACCTTTACTGATGTTAATTTCTCAGTCAGTTCAGCTTTCCCTCTGTACAACAGAGAAATGTGCTTTCAGCTAAGGGAGCAGACCCAAGGAATTTAATAAAATCAGGGTAACACCAGGGATTATCTATAGGCATCAGAATGGAATTAATGATGCATATGTCAAAATGTTTAACCCTTTTTCAAAACTGTAGTTGTATTTTCATTTTCTTTATACTTGGCCCTGCCCTTCCCGGCTTTGTCCCTGTCCCAGTTTTGTGGACCGATCAGGCGCTTTTTCTTTATTCTCTTTCCTTTATTCCTATCTGTTCAGCTGGTTTGTTTTAAGATAGGCATTGGGAGGAACCTACCTTACAATGTGGTTACGATGGCTGAAAATGTGAATGGTAAATAAAAAACAGCCGAAACCGGTTTGGCTCAGTGGACAGAGCGTCGGCCTGCGGACTGAAAGATCCCAAGTTCGATTCCGGTCAAGGGCATGTACCTTGGTTATGGGCACATCTCCAGTAGGGGGTGTGCAAGAGGCAGCTGATCGATGACTCTCTCTCATCGATGTTTCTAATTCTATCCCTCTCTCTTCCTCTCTGTAAAAAAATCAATAAAATATATTTAAAAAAATAAATCTAAAAAAAACCCTCAAAAAACCACATTGAGGGCCAGCTGAGTAGGATGCATACATGTAATTACTGTCCTGATATCAAGATAGGGATTCAGCTACTATTTCATGAGCATCGGTGTGATGATGACATTTTTTAAATTGTTATTTGTTCGGAGTACCCTCATGAGCATCTCTGAAGCAACTTGATTTCAGGTCTTCTAGACAAGAGGATATAAATGCTGATGTCCGTCCCAATGCCAATACAATATGCGATAACATTCTGCTTTTTCACACCTCACTTATCAGGATATTCATGAAGTTCTTAAAGTGTCATTAATGCTTTGGTCTTTAGATGCTGATTTATTTTGTCTGAAATTCTTTGTTGACCAAATGACGTTCCTTCCTTTCTTTTCTTCTTTCCACTCTCTACTAGTGGCCACTGGCTTTCCAGCTGGACAGACTCATTTAAAAACACGATTGGAAGAGATCAAATTGGCCGTGGAAGATGGAGCTATGGAGATCGATGTGGTAATTAACAGGACCTTGGTGCTGACAGGCCAGTGGGAAGGTAGGTGCATGTCCTAACCGACAAGGGAGACACAGTTCTTCCCTGGTGGACGAAATGGTGGGGATTTGGTCAGAGGCAGCACATTTTGGAAATTATTATTATTTTTTTTTTGTGGGTTTTTTATTTTTTTTTTTATTTTATTATTTTTTTTTGTAATTTATTTTTTTTTAATTAATTTTATTTTTTTAAACCAATCTTTATTGTTCATATTATTACAAAGGTTCCTCATTTCTTCCCCCCTCCACCAGGTTCCCACCCCACCCTTCGACCCCTCCCCATCCCCCATTGTCCTCATCCATAGGTGCAGTTTATGTTCAGTCTCTTCTTCCCTCCCTTTCCCCAATAGTAAATCCCTTTTCAGATAGTAAATCAGTTACTTAGCATTTTCTCAAATCAATAATACCTCCACATGCCCAATGATACACTTCACACAAAAGACATTTCCCAATAGGTCCACCAACCTCATCCAGGCCCCACCCAAGGCACTCACAGATCAACATCCCAGCCCTATACTAACTCAACACATCCAGATCTAAGCCTTCATCACTTGATTCAGCAGAACCCTCAAGTTCCCACGAAAGTTTCCAGCCATGTCTGAGAAGCAGCCGTGGGGCAGGGGCAGGCGAGGAGCGAGCTGTTACGGGCCTGGCTGCTCAGGGCCTGGCCTCTGTTGCTCTGGTTCGTTCCACAACCAGCTGCTCCAGGTCTGGTCACTGCCGCTCCCGACCTAGTTGCTCTGGACTTGGCAGCTGCTGCTCTGGGCCTGGCCGCTCCCAGCCTGGCAGCTGCTGCTCCGGGCCTGGCCGCACCCGACCCGGCTGCTCCCCCGGGTCTGGCCGCTCACATTTTGGACATTATTGCTCCACATCACAAGTGATTGGATTGGAGGGCGAATCTAGGACAGTGGTCGGCAAACTGCGGCTTCCGAGCCACATGCGGCTCTTAGGCCCCTTGAGTTTTTAGCAAAGGCCAGCTTAGGAGTACCCTAATTAATTTAATAACATTGTACCTACCTATATAGTTTAAGTTTAAAAAATTTGGCTCTCAAAAGAAATTTCAATTGCTGTACTCTTGATATTTGGCTCTGTTGACTAATGAGTTTACCGACCACTGACCTAGGAGAAGCCATGGCTAAGATCACTCATCCTTGTGCCCCTGATAAATCCTGGAATTTGCCAACCTGCATGAGCTTTATAGATCCTTTTGAGTGTTTAGGTGAATAGTTATTTCCATGCATTAGATTATTAACTTTTATCCTGTTCTGTATTGTTTTGTTAATCAATGCAATAATCACTCTAGGCAAGTCTTTTATGCAAAGTATTTTAATAGGATGGAGGAAATTTCCCTTTTATATGTTAATCCTTGTGGATTTTTTAGGATGTGGAATTATTAATGTCTGCTAAGTCTGTATTTACTTCTGTTCTTGACATAGCTCCTATGAATATAATTTCATATTCACCTTTGAGATTCATGATTTGCTTTCACTCTGATTACAATAGGATGTTGCCTATTCCAGTAATACGCTATTATCTTTTATAATTAGACTAGAGGCCCTATGCATGAAATTTGTGCAAGAGTAGGCCTTCCTACCCCTGGCTGCCAGCAATGGCTTCCCTCTGGCACCCGGGACCAGGCTTCTCTCGAAGCCCTGGCTTCATTCAGAAGGTCATCAGGAAGGACATCTGGTCTAATTAGCATATTACACTTTTATTATTATAAATAGTAAAGAAATAGGTTTTACCTCTCCAGGGCCTCTCCTGTCTTTCCTGTGGCCTCTCAGTGATCCAAACTGCTTTGATCTTGTGGCTCTACCATCTCAACACGAGGCCTCTTCAGAACACGTGGCACTCACACCTCTCTTTAATGCTTCGGCAGGACTGGCACATGCCACTTCTGCCCACAGACGCTTGATCAGGACACATGGCCTCACCTAACTTTGAGAAATCAGGAAAGTGTAGTCTTCTGGGTACTACCATGTTTCCCCGAAAATAAGACCTAGCACATGGAAAGATAAGACATCCCCTGAAAATAAGACCTAGCGCAACTTTGGAAGAAAAAATTAATATAAGACACTGTCTTATTTTCGGGGAAACAGGGTAGGAAGGAAAGGAAAAATGAATATTGGTGTAAGTAATGTCTACTGTACTTCACACACCTGGCAATACCTCTGTTCTAGTGTCACATGGGCATGAAAGTGTGTCCAGGTGTTGTGAGTCTAGGTTTGATTTTCTTTGAAATCTTGAAGTCATTTCTCCAGTGTCTTTCAGCTTCCAGTGTAACTTTTAAGAAATCCACCACCATTGTGATTCCTTATGTTTTTCTCTGGATGTTCTTAGGATTTTTCTCTGTCTTTTGTATTGAGGCATTTTATAATGGTGTGGATCCTCTACTTTTTAGTTTTTCATCATTAGGTTTCTGTACTAATTTCTGGAAGATTTTTTTTTATCAACTTTTACCTTTCAATTATTTGATTGATTAAAAAATTATCTCTACTTTTATATTTATAATTTTATGATGTTTTTCTTGTTTACATATTATTGTTTTTATTGCTTTATCTTTATTTTGTGGCTGTAATACCTGTTAATTAATAAAGTTGTTTTTAAGTTTAAAAAAATAGTTGTAGATATAGAAGTTTAATTTATATTGTAACCTGTGCTTTTGTCTTTAGAATACTATTAATTGGAAAATAAAATACAGTAGGAGATGGGTTTTGATGTAATTGGCAGTCCCTTAATGGGCTAGGAATGGTTGTTTTTAAGAACTGGTAATTTCCCAATAACAGGCATTCATGCAAAATACAATAACACATTTTTGTCATAGACCATATTTTTCTATTAACCCTTTTTTATGGTGTTAATAACCTCTTGACCCAAAACAAATGGAAAAGTAACATTTAATATTAGAAATGTAATTCTAAATAGAAATCAGCAATGACTTAGGACTTTTTCCACTGCAGTTTTTATCTTTCAGTTCTCAATTTGATTACATATTGTGTATTTTCAGTGTTAGGTTTTAATATTGGCCGTTTATTAAAATTTGAGTATAAAATTGATTTCTTGGAATTTGTTGATGGAAATGTCTGTTGGGCTATTACACATTCAAATCTGCATCCTTCTCTGTGTATTGAGGGTATGTGGGACCTGGTTAAAGAAAGAAAGAATCCCATTTTTATTTTATTTTATTTTAAATATATTTTATTGATATTTTACAGAGAGGAAGGGAGAGAGATAGAGAGTCAGAAACATCGATGAGAGAGAATCATGGACCAGCTACATCCTGCACACCCCCCACTGGGGATGTGCCTGCAACCAAGGTACATGCCCTTGACCGGAATCGAATCTGGGACCTTTCAGTCCGCAGACCGACGCTGTATCCACTGAGCCAAACTGGTTTTGGCAAGAATCCCATTTTTAAAAATCTGGCATTCAGAGTGCATCTCAACCATTCCTATGGTCACAGGGGTCCCCAGTTTAGGATATGAATTCAAAGAGGAGACTGGAGGGGTCTCATCTTCCTCTTCTTGGATTCTCCATGGTGATGATTTAAAATCTCTACTGTTCTCAGACTTTTTACTCTTCTGCCCACCTGGAGGCTCCTTCACTCTTAGCAGACGACCTACCTGTTACTTCTCAGAGAAGAAAGAAAGCATTAGACAAGAACTCCCTCAGGTCCTGGCATCAGATCTGCTTTCCTTTGTACTTCCTCTCCATCCAGTCCCTCTGCTATGATGGGGCTTTCATTTTCTTCCACATTTTCAGATGCCTTACTCCGTTTATTGGCCTTTCCCCCCTCCTGTTTCTTTAGCCTCCCTTTACTTGCTCATTCTCATTAGCATCAGACATATGCAAGCTTTTCTTATTCATTGACAGCTTCCCACTTTGTCCCCAGCTAAATTTCCCTTCCTGTTCTCCCGCTGATGGCTAAAATTCTTGATTCAGATGTAGTTGTTCCTCTTGAATCTGTTCTAGATACTGATGCCCTCTCATTTCACTGTGTCCAGGGGATCCTCTTCCTTCTACTTAACTTTACTGTTCTTCATCATGTGACACATGCTGGAAATACTCCATTGCCGTGGTTTTGGTGACTGTACGTCTTTCAGGTTTTCCTCCATGATTCTGATTTCTCCTGCATCTTGTTAACAAGCTTCTCTGCCTCCTCTGGCATCCCTGAGAGTCGGTGGTCCTGGGTTCTAGCCTAGCCAGCTCTGCGACTTCCCTCCGCCGTTGCTGCACACACACTCTCCTCTCTTCGCTGACTTACGCCACATTCCCTCTGCCGAAGACTTCCTGCCTCCACAGTGTCAGAGCCTGAGTCTTGCCTGACTCCTGAACTCATGTTCCGTTTCCCCATGAAACTCTGTTGCTTTTCGTCCATCCTTTTCACATGAGCAGACATTCGAAAATCGGTGAATCTTGTTCCAAGCAGAGAATCTAGACACTTTAGCGGGGGAGGGGGGAGGAGAAAGTACATCTCTTCAACTTAAACACTTTCTATTAAACACAGTTTTATTTCAGCACCGTCGTGGCCATGGCTGAGTTATACTGGAACACAATGATTCTCTCGGGGGCGGAGATGTCTGAGATGACTTGCTCCACAGCTCACGGGCCAGATGGCTGTGCTTTCTGACTTCATAGGTCTTTACATTTAAACATTTTTGGTGGTGTTGCTTTGTCTGGCCCTTTGCTGTTAAACTTTTTGCTATCACATCCTGCTTCGCTCCTTATGGCACTGTCCTTCCCTGCCAATGCTTCCCTCGACCCTTTCCATCTGGGCATAGAGAGGTACACCACCTGGCATCACTCGGGGCAGTTATTTTAACTGCCAAGGGTATGTATGGGTTTTATTGCTGGTCCTCCGAATTACCTGGCAGACATTGTTTTTTGTTTTTTTTAGAACTTTCAATTTTATTGTTCAATTACAGTTTACATTCACTGTTATTTTGTATTAGTTTCCGGTGTGATATTTCTAGTACCCACCTGGCACCATACATAGTCATTACA